TGCTGCTGCTGCTGCTGCTGCTGCTGAAACTGTTGGTGATTCGTGAAACCATTCACCCCGTTCAAATTATTGTTCATCGTCTTCTTTCCTGAGTTCTGAGTAGTGAAATTTCTAGTTGCGTTTGTGTTCCTAGTTCCAGTCTGGAAACCAATTGTGTCCATCAACCCATTCACGTTGTTTCCGGAATTCGATTCGTCTATTTGATAATCTCTGRTTCCTACATCTTGGAAGCTATTAACSCCTCCCATAGGCCCAACCATCCCCCCTCGCTGGTGTTGTAGTAACGTACCGAATGGTCTAAGGACAGTGGCTTGCGAAAAAGCAGGAGTCGACATTTTATTATTCGTCTTGATGTGTTGAGAGTGGACTTTGATGTTGGTGTTGTCTCGAGAGGTTTTTCTGTTATTGTATGCACCTCGCGATGGGGGTTGGTTCATGCTCTGAGTGCACGCACTGACAAGGGTTCCGAATCCCAGTGACAGGGAAGGAATCAGTTGRTTGACGAATTTTGCCAAGAGAAAATAAATCTTGTGAGAACCYCTAGTATCTTGTGTTGCGAATACTGATCCAAAAGACGGAATCACGAAGATTGAATCACAAAGATTGAAGTTCGTGTCAGTCTTATTGTCCGTGTGAAGTCGGAGAATAAGTAGAGGATGCAGCTGTGACGATCTGTTTTTGTCCTCCGTAAAAAAAAAGAGTCAGAAGGAAGCTTCGGAACAAGAAAAATAAAAAGTTCTTACGCATTGTTAAATTTCCTTTGGTCCAAGGCGACTGACAAAATAGTTTTCGTTAAATACGAAACGGAATGACGACGTCAAGGGAAAAGTTGATTCCTATAATACGAAGCATCTGTTCTGTTCTATTTCACAGTACCATCAAAAAGACAATTATTGCGCTGTAGTGCAACAGGCTCTAGCGCAGGGCGCAAGAGCCTTGCGCTGTAGTGCAACAGGCTCTTGCGCAGCGCGCAAGTAGTTTTTAGTCAAGCCTTCAAGCGCACAATAAGTACCATTATAAGGGGTTTCGATATTTGAGCAAAAAGAAGAACTACAGCGCGATAAATACTTCCAAATCTCAGTCGTGGTGTTTTCAAATCCTTACTAGATTCTCGCAAGAGGGTGTTTAAATAAAAATCCAACCAAAGTCTATAATCAGATGCGGACGGCGTGATTGTGGCGTGTGTACTGCGTGACAGCGATGAATGATTCAAAGAAAGGCAATAATGAGCCAT